CCCCCCCGGGGGGGAAAATATATTTTTACCAGCCCCCCCCCCCCCCCCCAAAAAAAAAAAAAAAAAAATCCCACAGACAAAAAAAAATGTATAGAAATTATAAAATTTTGATTTTCCAGGGACAGAAAACAGAGCATATATTCAAAACTTTTTCTGTTATTATTATTTTCTTGTGTTTTTGTCCAACTCCAATCACCCTCCCTACTTTTCATCTTGAGGGGCCCACCTCGTGATCTCGGGCCAGACTGACACCTCATACTGGACTGGGAAACGTGCCTGGACCTGGGCCTGGGCCTCTAACAAAAGAAGACCTCAACACTCGAACTTCTGAAAGAAAAACAAACGGGGCAACCTTGAACCACCGCATCGCAACCTGTACACACGCATAAATGCCGACACGGCAACAGCACCACCGAGGCAACTCGCTTCCCACACGCCTTGCAACTCGGTCCACTACAAACCACGGCTCGGTCCGGGTCAATATACGCCGACTCCGCATCCTCCGTTTCGCCCACTGCACATCCCATCCCTCCTCCACCTTCCTCCCTATCCTGTTGCTGTGCGCACCCGCCGCTCATTATAGCCTGCTGCAGTTGCGCTTGCAGCCTCGCCGCCGTGGCCTCCTCCGCCCTTGCCCTCGCCTGCCACACTTGCGCCTCCGCACTCAGCTGCGCTGCCCACGCCTGAAGGTCGGCGTTTCGACGCGTCGCCTTCTCTACTTCCGCCTCTTTTTCTCTAAGCCTTTTTGCCACCGACTCTTCTGCTGCGCCAAGCAGCGCTCTGTAGTGGCTTTGCCTTTTCTCTGCTAATGTGCGCCTCATTTGTTCACCCTGTAGATGAAACGAACGAAAGCTCAGGCCTTTTTCACTTATTGGAACACAATAGAATATTGAAAATCTCAACTGGGTAGAAATTAAGCAGAAAAAAAAAACTGAATTAGTTCGTACCTGGGTTTGGAGGAAGTGTTCGATTTCGTCTCTTTGTTGTTTGATTTGGGTTGCCAATTCTTCTGATAATAGGGATTTCAGAACAGAGGATTGAGATGAGAGAGACTGTTGTGGTTGTTGTTGTTGTTGTTGTTGGTGGCGATGGTGGTGTTGGTGTTGGTGTTGGGGTTGCTGTTGTTGCCGTTGTTGGTCTCCAAAAGCTAGCTGGAGACCGGTGGAGACGATATTTGGTGGTGGGGTGTGGAGCTGAGTGCGGTCTATGAGCTGAGAAGCCTGAGGTTGCATAGAGACTAATGTATTGATCGTCTCTGTAGTTGTAAGTTCTCTTCCTCTTTTGCGTGAAAGATTAGTCCCTAGAACTGTGATAGAAACAAGCAATCATAATCAGCAAAGAACTTACCATTCGTTTTGAACTTGCATTAAATTTGAAATCTATTGGGAAAAGCTTAATTGGGTTTGAAAATTGAAGTGAAAACGTAATAGTTCACCTCCATTGTTGAATAACATATGGGATTGATCAAAGAACCCTCCTCTTTCACCCCCTCCTGGCTGTAGTTGCAATGAATAATCGTTGCCAATCGAACTTTTTCCTTCTTTTGCGCTTCTGCATGAAAGTGGCTTAATCATTGAATCAAAACCCATTTACAACATAGATAGACAGAGAGATAGAGAGATAGAGAGAGAGAGAGAGAGAGAGAGAGAGAGATGCAAACCTGTTTAGGAGCAGAACATTTGATGGGTATTGAGCTTGAACGGCCATTGTTACAGATGGTATCGGTGTGAATGTGATGCGATATAAGAGGTATATATGTAGACAGGTGGGCTTGTATTGTATATATATGGCAGCTGATCGAGGGTGAGATTACGGTGAAGAGAGGTTATGGAGAGAGAGAAAACAATGTGGTGGGACGCGTATGGGAGGGCGCCTAATAAACGCTAACACATAAACAGCATGAAAGAGGAGTTGATGCCTCAACACAAGGCGGACTCTTCAATGAGATAAGTAGAAAATTAAAGTGAGAGAGAGAGAGAGAGAGAGAGAGAAGTTTATAGAGAATCGGAAGTAAATGAGTTTGTCAGATAACAGGCCACCACCATCGTTCTCTTCACTTTGTTTTCACCCACTTCGTTTCTTTCTTTCTTTGTTTGGCTGACGTGGCTGCTATGCTATGCTATGGTTTGTGAATGGAGAGAGATAGGATAGATGCGATTGAAACGAATGAGTCCAAGATAGAGAGGGATAGAAGGATACACCCTTATTCTTGTTCTTTCTCTCTTCCTTCCTTTAATTTGCTTCCTTAGCTTCTTTCTCCTCTTCTTTAACGTGGGTGGGTTTGGCTTTTCTTTGAAGGGGGAGTCTCGTGTTTCTCATCAACTACTGCTAAACCTAATCTTTTATTGATTACCCATTTAATTAACTTTTACCAATATATATATATATATATATATATATATATATATAGAGAGAGAGAGAGAGAGAGAGAGAGAGAGAGAGAGAGAGAGAATCAATGAGGAGATGGGGGTTGCTGGGTGATGTTGTTGGGCGTGCAGAGGGTCTTTGCCGTTGCCGCTGCCGCTGGGCTTGTTTGTATATGTGGCCCATGCTGGCCAACTTTCCCTCTCTGTTCTCTCTTTCCCCCTCTGTATTCATATATGTATGTACATCTGTGTGTATATGTCTATCTGTATATATATATTTATCTTTTCCCATTGAATTGGGCACTTCATAATCTTGGTAAATGGAGCACTTAATGCTGCAGGAATAGACAACACAGTCCTTGACTGCGTTAAGAAATAGAGGATCTAACTGACCCTGTTTCCATGTTCCAAACAAATCACAAAATTTTTTAAAAAAAAAAACATCTATCCTTTTTTAGTTACTAAAGATTTTTTTTCGATGGTTAAGGCTGGTTGAGTCCATTTATATGTATTTTGATAAATTTTTTCCCCAATTTATTCATAGACAGTTCTACATTTACAACTCGGCTCTATTCAAGTTTATTAGATTCTTTTTGTTGGATTGGATTTCTACTAGACATTTTGTAGAAGAGAAAATTTGTTAGCAACTTTTGTAGAAAAAATCATATGGGTGCCACAAAAAAAAAAACTAAAAAAAGTAATCTTGGTTCTTGAATGAATTAGAACCACCAAATTTGAAGAATTTTTGGATTTTTTTGTTGTTGTTATATAAAGAAAAATAGCAATATATATTCAATATGTTGTTTTCTTAGCCTGTATAATTTTTGGAAAAATGTTGAAATTGACTTGGTTTTGAAGATTCAACCTCCAATAAAACTAACAGCTGGGCATCTATTTCCTTATCTTAGAAAATAAAGAAAACATCAACATACCTTCAACCTAATTCATTGGTTGTTGGTTCAGTTCTCTTTACCTTCTCACAAAAATGATTGATCATTGTTTCTTCTACATGACCATGTGAAATAGTAATCTTTAAAACAACAAGGGGATTGTATATCGTTTATTTTTTACGGACCATATAAATAGTTAGACAGAAATGAGTGCAACACAATTTTTTTTTAATGACCGTGTCAAATGACTTGTATTAGCCCTTTATTTAGGTAACATGAGAGAGAATGTAAAGAAAATTTCAAGATAACATTCATCTAGACTCTGTGGTTGAGAGAAGTTGCCAAGGTAATAGAGAATTTGGGGTTAGGAATAACAAACTCTTGCTGTTTGAACCCCAATTTGAATTTGAATTTTGACTGTTTTACCAATGTCCCTCTAGCCATTTCCCATCATGGGTCATAGCAACAATTTTTTTTTTCAAATCTTGTGGCAAGAAAGAACCAAAGAGTCAGCAATACTTGCCCGTTTGATTGGTCTAAGATGTACCCCCACCACATCAAATTTGGTAAACGAACAACTTTATTTTTAACGTTCAATAATAAGTAATATTGGTATTTCTTATGTTTTTTTTTTGACAATTGAAAAGGATAATTTCCTGGTTTTTTAAAGTTATTGTTTGCAAATAGATGTAATGAAAACGGGTCGAGTGCAAGATTTGTTTTTGTTTTTTCCATTTTGGTTTTTGCCATTTGTGTGGCAAGGATGAACCCACAAATGGAGTCTAGGTGCTCTGCATTGATATTGAATTATAGAGAGCAATTGTATCGGAAATAATCACGCGATGACAATTGAGTTGACAAGATTTGGTTATCTCGCACTTGTTTGAGGTCTCCAAATTTGTGCAACGAGATGGCTGAATCATTATCGTTGGTTTTCCCGCGTGGTTATTCTGATTCATATTGAGACAATGTAAACAATCACTCAATCCATCGCACATCTATTGTGTTGATGCTACTACAATAATCGTTAAATCATATACATAGAAAAGAAGCATCAACCTTGCACCGTATTCATTCAGAGTTTTTAAAATGTTATTCCACTTTCTTTGCCGTAATTTCAGATTACTTCAACATTAAAATCATACGAGAGCTTTGATAAACAAGTCAGATTTCGTTTGCTGCTATATGTCCACATTAAGGCATCGTGTTGACAATTATGTGTATTTTGTTTCAACCCACAAGTCCATTTAGCAAACTTTCTATCCTCAAATGGTCCTATCAATCAAGCAAGAACCATTATTTTTTCGGAAGGTAAGCAAGAACCATTATTGAAAATAACTAATAAAGAAATCAACAATAACTTGGAATGGAGTTCAAAAATGAGAACTTCTACGGCTCCCATGAAGAAGTCAATCCCTCAATCAACTGAACTTTGGTGGAAAAAATGATCAAGATTGATGGCACTAAATTTGAAATTTTTTTCCCCAATAATTCTCAAATATTTTCAATATTTTTTTCTTAATAATTCTCAAATAAATAAAGTAAAATAATTCCTTTGTTCATGTGGAGTCTAGAACCAACAAAGTAAAAAGTAAAAAAGAATAATCACTCATTTCTTGATATTTTATTTATAACGTAAACTCGTGATCAACAAAAAACACAAATGCACTGATTGAACAAAATCTTTTTAATTAGAATGGAACTTTGAATTTTGAGATAGTCAGTTTTCTACGTGAACTAGTTTGATAGATTTATCATGAAATGTTTCTCAAGTTTCATAATATGTTGTCTATGTTTTTTTTATCATAAGGTAACTGTGAAATGAAGACACGCGACTGTGATGCGAAATCAAAGACACTCAATCATCTGAACGCCATACACATTGGGTAAACAAAGACTCCATTGCTCGGGTCGAATTTCGTACCTCCAAATAGGTAACTTTTCAGCCGAACCACTTTGGCGGGATTACTAATAAATCTTTCCAAAGCTTGATGTGACATAATTTTGAATAGTCATATAGTGTTTAAGCTTTTTCATGAACCATCCCAACAAATAACTATACACACATATGTCTATATATATATATATATATGTAATGTTTATGTAGGCAAAATTGGTATATAAAAAAAGATTGAATCTTTCACAAGAAAAGTTGAGTTGGTGTTGGTAATCTTCCTCAAAACCAAGAAGAGGATGTTAACTTTAATCAATGGGGAGTGACAAAGAAAGAGAGAAGCCACCAAAAAAGAGAAAAGAGAAGATTAGAAAATGTGGAATGGCATCAAGCAATTTGTCTCTGGTTAGGACCCACAAGGGTCGGCTTCTACTCCTCCTATTAATCATCCCTCTCATCTCTCTTTTCATAGAAATACAAGCCTGCACGGCAATACATGTATATATATGACCATCTCTCTCTCTCTCTCTCTCTCTCACTCATGCATAGATATGCTCTGATGTGCACATACGGCTCCCACCCAACTAAGAAATCATTATTTTTCTCTCCCTCTTAAGACAACCTTTCATTTTCTCTCTTGCTTTGCATTCTTGCTTGTGTGTTGCTTTTAATGTTTTGTTACTTAACATTGTTGCTATGGTGTTAAAAGAGAATCATTTTGTCCCTTTTACTTGGTTAATTATGCCATGTTAGTACACAACGTAAGGTTGGAGTCAAAAGTTTCAAATTTGAGGGGTAAAACATAAAGTGTGAATATTTTAGGGGCCAACATAACTTCACAAAAACTAAATAAAATTCAAAGGTTAGGAGTTTAAATTTTAGAAATCCAAGGGACCCCAGGCCTAACTGTGTTTCCAACATTGTCCACATGTGCACAATGCTATAGTTTTCTAAATATTTGAAATGTCTAGGCCGTTATACCAAAAGAAAATCTGATTAGATTGATCTCTTCGGACAAGTTCTTTTTTCCTGACGTAAAAATCATTTATTTATTATGCATTGGTTATATTCACCCTCAGGTCCAGCTCGGAGTAGGGTTTGTGCCGTAAATACTCAAGATCTCGAGTCATGGCAAGGTGATGTGCATTCGAATTGATGGATTCGAAAAATCTACCAAAACTTAATCCAACTCACAACAGCAGGCCTACTTAACTCACATGTGTTGATGTAGAATAAGATAAAACCTTGAATTTCTGTTGTGTAACCAAACAAGTATTTTGGCATATACATACATGTGTTTCTATGTATGCTGGCCTGATTGCTGCCTTTGGCTATTTTGATTTCTTCAAAGGTCATTCAGAAGTGTTTGGTTTGAGAGAGGGACATGTGAGCACAAATGGTTTAATGGCATATGAAAGTCCTAAAAGATTGATGCAAACAATGATGTATTGGGTAGATACATGATTAACTAAGTCAACTTTGTGCATCAACCAAAGAGGTTTAAGAGCAAGAAGTTGTTGTTTTTAAGCTATTTTCTACATGCTCTTGGAATCCTCTTTTTGTTTTTGTCATGAAAGCTTAAGGCTTAGGGCATTAACAAAGTCATATGGTGACTTTTGATAAACTATTTATCAAGATGGAAGCCCCTAAGGGTTACTAGCTCGAAATTCTGAGTTCGATTCTTACAAGAAATGTTCATGTTAGCTCGATATGCTTGAATTGCAAGTCATTGTGCATATGATAAGTTTACGTTATAGTGACAAGTTCGAAAACTTCGNCGGCTCCCACCCAACTAAGAAATCATTATTTTTCTCTCCCTCTTAAGACAACCTTTCATTTTCTC